GAGTCCTGTAAGATAGCTCCATTGGGGGTGAGGACTTGCAGAAGGGAGAGATACAGCTCCATATAGAAACACAAGTAACACAAGCAGCACATTGATAGAATTAAAAACCAGACAACCGCCTCAGGTTTATGTTTTTATTTGGGGATAATGCACCGTTTGCCTGGGTAAATCTCCTGCTATAAGTGAAGTAACCTAACTCCAAACAATCCAAAATTAATCAACTTTATTTACCTGAGAAGGCTGAATCTCTGTAGGTGCATGTCTTTTTCAGACATGATCCAAACCACACTCCACCCTTAAATTAAGCTGCTTTAATTAATGTGAGATTAATTATTAAGAATATTAAGTGTTCATAGCACAATGATGAGAGCAGTCACCTGGAAGGAAGGAGCCTTGAGCTCCAGTTCTGCTTCTAACAATGCTTATATATTTTGCATTGATCAATCACTGCATAAAGTTCCTAAAAAAAATGCTAGGCTGCCAAATCACATGGACAATAAACTGAATATGAGCCATCAGTGTACCTTTGTTGTGAAGACGGCTAGTGGCATACTGGGTTTCATTAGCAGAATTGTTGCCAGCAGATCAAGGGAAGTGATTATTCCCCTCTACTCAGCACTGTTGAGGCCACATCTGGAGTAGTGTGTTCAGTTTTGGACCCCCCACTACAGAAAGGATGTGGACAAATTGGAAAGAGTTCAGTGAAAGGCAACACAAATGGTTTAGGGGGCTGGAGTATGTGACTTCTGAGAAGAGACTGAAGAAACTGGGCTTATTTAGTCTGGAGAAGAGAAGACTGAGGGGGAATTTAATATCAGCCTTCAACTACCTGAAGCGGAGTTCAAAAGAGGATGTTCTCAATGGTGGCAGATGACAAAACAAGGAGCAATGGTCTCAAGTTGCAGCATGGGAAGTTTACATTAGGTATTAGGAAAAACTATCTCACTAGGAGGGTCATGTAGCACTGGAGCAAGCATGTGGAATCTCCATCCTTGGAGGTTTTTAAGACCCAGCTAGACAAAGCCTTGGCTGGGATGATCTAGCTGGGGCTGGTTCTGCTTTGAGCATGGGGTTGGACTAGATGACCTCCTGAGGTCCCTTCCAACCCTAATTTTCTATGTTTCTATGATTATATGATCATGTCCCCTCTTACTTTCTGGCCCCATGAATTTTGGTTTCTTTACTGCAGAGCTGCATGACTTCAACAAGAGGGATATGGAATAATCCTAGCCTAGTCTTGCCAGTAGGCCAGTGGTTAATGAATGTGTATAAGTGCTCACTAATGGGAGGAAATGACAAGGCAGCACAAGAGCCTTCAAATATACAGCCATATTTCAGAGCTGGCTTTAAATAAGAAGTTACATGAAAGACTGCACCCTAGCAGGAAACATATTTTACTGATACTGTAAACACAAATGGTATGAAACATAAAGAATGAACACTTCTCTGTCAGTTGTAAAGAAAAATAATGGCAAAGAACCTTGGATGTTTTGATGATGTAGCTCATGATTATACAACATTTTGAACATATAAATCAATAGTAAGAATGGATGGGTGCATTGTTTTGGCAGTGTTTATTGTTCATTCAATATCAGTTTCACACTTGAGGCATTTCTGGATATGAAACTTGTGAAGCATGATTTATTAAGTGAGAAAATATCTTTTATTGGACAAATTTTACAGCTGGGAGGAGCACATCTCTCCAAACTATAAAGCTAGTCCAATAGAAGATATTACCTTACCTCACAAATCTTGCTTCTCACATATTCCCTGGATCACCATAGCTACATCACCACCATGGGAAACTCCTAACAGCCAGGATGTCAGTAAAAGCCAAAAAAACACGAACACAATCTGGAGGACCAGAGAGATCCAGCAAAGGTAAGAAGCTGTAGCATACCTAGAGGTCACAAAACAGTTCTGAATGATAGCTTCTGTTTTTGGTATGTTAATTGAGACCTTCACAGAATAGTTATAATTATAGTTTATGGACAGTCAAACAGAAGTCCATAAGTATATTCTCAAAAGTTTGAGATAACAAAAATACTGAAATCAACAATATACTACTGTGGATCCAAAACTACTGCTGTTCCACTTAGTTGTATCATATAGCAACACTTCTTGCATGAGTTTCTAGTGCAAATCAGCACCCCCCCAACCCATTTCTACCCCTTTTACAAGACAATTTTGGTACTTGCCAACAGCAGACGGTACACACAAGCACAGTGGTAGTGAATATTAATGTGATGGGGATGGCAGCTACAGAAACATGTGTTGCAGACGAGTGAAGAGAACAGATCCACACAGGAGACTATTTTGGTGCATGTCAGTCCCACAATGCACCACAGAAAGCAGCTGACTACGGGCTTGCACCACACTGATCATATAAGAGTGAATTTACCCTGCATATAATGAATTTTTCGTATAAAAAGGGTCATCATATAAGTGCGAATTTGCACATACAGAACGCACATAAAGCAAGGGAAACCTGTACACACAGAAGACAGTTTAAGAGGAATGTAGAATGCTTTTCATACCACTGTAATAGAAGAGAACAAGAAGTAGAATACTTTTAATCTGCATGCAAACAGAGATAAGAAAAAGGGTTTATATTATTGTAGGTCAAAATGATAGAAGAGAGGAGCTATCATGTAAGTAGCAAGGTAAAATCCTTGCAGCATGCACTGGTAGGAAATCCTGTTAGCACCCAGATGCACACTCACTTCCAAGCACATGCAGAAAAGCATGATATGCCAAATTGAAATGTACAAGTAGATAAAAATCAAGGGCAAGGCTGTGTTTCATTAGAGGCTGGTGATGAACATATACAAGGTGCCTCTGAAGGGCTGCTATTAAGCCATTATATGTGAGGTGTGAATTGAGGACTGATGGAATGCAAAATGGGAAGCAAATAATCATGTGTTTATATACAGATGTGAATGATTCTTGTAACAGGGTACAAATAAATAAGCTGTCACATGTTAGGAAATGTATTGGTCAGTAATTTGTCTTATTATTGCTGTGGTTTAGCTAAAAAATTTAAATGACAAAAATTACAATCTGCTATGTAAAATAAAATACATGGGGTGGGGGAAAAAAGTCTATGTGATGGGATGGGACTGCTTGGAGCCTGGTGCAATAAGGGTGAAAGTGCAAGAGGCAAAAGAGGCTTTAGGCCTTAGTGCCACACAGCAGCCTGCTGTTGAGTCCTTTGAATCTATAAACCAAGTCAGCAAGGTGCAAAGTGGTAAAGGGAAAAGAAAATGTGGGAAGCTAGAAGAAAAGTGATGTAAGAAATGAGGAGCACCAGTTCCTATTTCAAATAATTCATTGTGTTTTTTATGTCTTTTCCTATTCTGCTTTGGTGCTACTCTCAAGGCAGGTCTCTTGTTTAAGTTGCTCAGGAGTGAGTTTTATCCATTCAGAGATGGGAGAGAGAAACACACTGTTTTCTGGGGGGTCTTGCTTATTCTTCCTGCTTTGTTTTCCTCTCCTGCACTTCAGATTTGTTTAATTTCTCAGGAGCATATAAGATTTGATGATCCTAAAGCAGCTATATATCTACAGACAAACCAAATACACTTTAATGTGAAAGTTACTAGCCGTGGATGGTGAGTGCCAAGGTAGGCAAGGTAAGAAATTATTTTTTTCTTTAATTCATTCAGGGACATGCATTTCACAAAAGGAAAACTGATTCTGACAACCGTTTGGGTGATTTAAGAGAAATTTAGTTTGGAGATTAAAAGGAACTTTCCGACTATGAAGGTAGTCAAGCATTGGAATAAGCTAACTAAAGAATCCATGGAATTCCCATCCTTTGAAGTTTTCAAGAACAGGTTAGACATCTCTGACTGGGTTAGTTTAGTCAGGGATGATTCTGCCTTGAGCACTAGATGACCTCATGAGATCCGTTCCAGGCCTACTTCGTGCTTTGGATATCTGAGTTTTACATTGCTGCTGGAAAACAACATCAGAAAACAACTTCTTTACAGCAGACATCATAGAATGTGTGTTATTCTCATGTTGTCCTTTGACTCCTGAGGATTTATTAGCCAGAGTTCCAATAAACTAAAATTTATAGGCCATCTTTGTGAATTCACTGCAACATTTCCAGCAATATATAAAGCATTTGATAGCAGTTATCACTATGCATATTTCATAGATTTCATAGACATTAGGGCTGGAAGGGACCTTGGAAGATCATTGAGTCCGGCCCCCCACCTAAGCGGCAGGAAGTCAGCTGGGGGCATAGGATCCCAGCAACATAAGCATCCAAATTTCTCTTGAAGGCATTCAATGTGGGTGCCTGAACCACCTTCAATGGCAGGCTATTCCAGACCTTGGGTGCTCAGGCAGTAAAGAAATTCTTCCTTACATCCAGTCTGAAACGGTCTTGCTGGAGTTTATAACCGTTTGACCTTGTCAT